CCGCCCTCCGGCGGGGGAGCCGGTCCTCGAGGCCAAGGACCGGCTCGAGGAACACATCCCTGATGCACATGTGTAAATGGATTAAAAAAATCCTTTCTTTATAAATCTCATTTAATCTTAAAATGTATGACTATATTTTTCAATACCAATTACTTGTTAAAGTTGTGTGCCTTTGTACAATCAGTGGGATGTTTTAATGTTGTTTTAATGATGTTTTAATGTTTGGTAAAAGATATGTTCATTAAATTTAAACATTTTCCTCATGTTCTTGTGCTTCACTATACCAAAACAAAGGAAAGACATGATATTTTGGTTATTTATAGCAGAGTATGGTATAATTTTAATGGTCCGGCCCACTTGACATCTACCAATGCCGTATGCGGCCCACAATGTGAAATGAGTTTGACACTCCTGATCTAGACCATCATAATAAGAAAGAAATAATACAATTAGGTCATTTTCAACAAATTGTAGAGTCTATGTTTTCGTGAAACATTTTTCAACAGCATGGTGGAAAGAGTAGCCTATTGGTGCCCATGTTTACTCCCATTGGCAGCTATCTGATGGAGATTTCGCTGTAAGGTGCAATTAAAAAAAAAAAAATCAGTTTATCTATTCATTATGTGAACCACTTTCTCTTCACAAGGGTCGCAGGTGTACAATCCACCATACAATCACAGTAGTATTCAACACACAGCCAATTCCTTTCTTAATTTTTAGTGGGAGTCGACAATCGATCGCTGCCATCAAACCAGAAGTTCATCATCATTGTTTGTGATGCCACAGATATCAACGAATCAATTTTAATTATCAATACCGCTATTCTATTTGTCCTGCTAAAAACTCTAAAAACACACATGCATATATGTTGAAGGATTCTATTACAATATTTCATTTTCATTACCCCGGTATTTATTTTTTGTCCCTTTCCAGGTGACTCAGCTGGGCGGGAGCGTGCTGCCCTCGCGACCTCGATTTGACAAGCTGCCACCATTTCCGCCCACAAACTAAAAACACGCTTCTAAGGTTAACGGAAGATTCCAAACTGTCCTTTCTGTCAATGTAAGTGCAAATTTAAGTGTCTAAATACAGTTGCTGAATGTCGACCATGATGTTCCCTTTACCCCAATGTTACATGGGATAGGATTTCTGACCAAATACGTGAGGGTTCATCAAAATAATCGGTTTGGGCCAATGCAAAAGGCGCCAGAGTCCATATAGATTGCTGTGAGCCAAATGAGGATCTCTGTTGTGTTTAGCGGAGTGGTGTAGGTGTGTCACTACCTCTGCTTTTAAAATTCAAATGCAACTGATGATCATTTTCAGTTTGATGCTCAATCATCAATGTGTTGCCATTCTTGCAGATCAGATCGCAGTGGCTAAAAAAAAGTCTGCACTTCTTAGTCATGGGAAGGATTCACATTTCAATGTGAATTATGGCAATTTGACAACTGTAAGAGCCCATTTCAAAAATGTGTCCGAATAGTGAGGGTTCCCCCATGCAAGTGGGTGAACACATTTCTATGTATTTTCTGCAGTTTGTGTAAATGGAATGTTGCATCTAATGCAATATTGCAGTGCTGCTGACACTGTCACCGGTATTGATGGGTTCTTCCATAATGTATCCCCCACCCCCAAAAAAAAATCGATTTTCTCCCATGCAAAATCATTTTACACTCTGGCACAGTCAGCTGTTTAGTGTTGAAACAGCTTGAACAGCTTAAGATGCCTTCCAATGAAAGTCAAGGGTTTAACCTTGTGAGTATTTCATATGTTGTATGACACATTGGGGGCAAAAATAAGCAGATGTTGGAGTCAAACATTCATGCTAATAAAATCTCAAACAGATATCAACATTCATCAAAAAGAAAACCACCACATAGTGTGAAAGTGTTCCAAAATATGCTGACCGTAAATACCCTTTATTCAGTGGGATCACTGAGTTCAGTATTTAACAAAACTACATTCTGTGATTGGCTGATGACCAGTCCAGCATCAGCTGGGATAAGCACAAGCACACCAGTGACCCTAATGTGGATAAGCAGTAGAGAAAATGGATGGATGGACAGAAGTTTAATATTAATAGCACAGCTAGAATACTTTTTTTTAATTGAGTTTTAAGTTGCACAGAACAGTAAAATTGTATCCCTATAGTGAGTCAATTACATGAAATGAGCAAGAAGGCCAGAGGCAACATTTTTAAGCACATTGTCTCATCAGTCCCGAAATGATCCATCCATCCATCTTCTAATCCTCACAAGAGTCACAGGCATGCTGGAGCCTATTCCAGCTGTCTTCGGGCAATACTATAGGTGGGGTACACTGGTTCCCAGACAATCAAGGCACACATAGATGAACCACCATTTGCGCTCACAGTAAATTTGTATTGAATAACAGGCCCACACAATGACATTGTAGCTCCGAATTTAATTTCATATATATTTTTCTGGAAAAAAAAGGTTATCGTATAGATGTATGTTGAATAAGAATAGTAAAACCAGTGTTACTTGTGTACAACTACTGTAAATCATTAGAGTACATTAGGGTAAAAACAAATCGGCAAACGTCAGCTATTTGCCCGGTTATTGTGGCAGTTGTTTGAAGGTCCATAATTGGCCGGCCGATTAATTGTTCCGCCCCTACAAAAAAATTGGAATTTTAAGAGTTGACGTTCTTTCATGTTCTGACTTTCTGTTGATGCTCAGGTTTTGAATCTGACATTTTTAGTGTAAATAATGGAAGATTAGACTAAACCCAAAACATGTTTATTGTTGGTGGATACTTCCTGCACTCAGCAAGCAAGTTAGTGTGGACACGATAAATTTGCTGAGCTCATACAAGAACTGGTTGTTCTGGCAAAGGGTAAGGTCATGACCTCCTTATGTTCAAGATCTTGAAGGGGTAAACAAATCTATAAGGAGGATTACATAATTGTTGGTATAACAACAAAACTCAAATGACCGTCTTCATCATCACACCTTCATTGATAAATTGAAAGGATGACATCACCCGTTCCCCCGCTTACCAACATCCTATGTGCAATCAAAACAAAGTCACACGTTGCCATCTTTGCAGAATCTGTCAGCTTTGTTTCTGTGAAATTCTCACAGAAGGAACGCTGACATCATTCTCATGTTCCAGAACAATGACGAGAATCTCTTATTCTGACAAGGAATAGCCATACTGTATGTCTTCACATGTGGAATAAATGACAGCAGTGGAAATATTTGGCTCTTTCGCAGGAGCAGTCAGCTACCAGTCTTTCTCTGAATAAACTTTGGAGAGAGGATTCAAGTCATTCTGCATAGCAGTGAACCAGAGACATGTTTATAAACCAGGACTGTAAATGTTCAAGGTCTTCCTTATGAAACATTGTTCTACATTTCTGCACAATGTTCCATGTGAACCAACACTGCAACATAAAGTCACTTACTAACCCTCCAGAGTTTGATTTCAGACTGCCCCCCGGGCTCAGAGACAAAATTCCCAGACGTGGGAAGCACAGTTGAAGATTAATGATCAACTTTTGAGGGGGAAAAAAAAAAAATCTGAACACTCATGATTAAAACCCCAAACGCAACAAACTGAGTCTTAAGCCTCAGTGAACCTCCCAAATATTTTTCACTTGAGAGGGCAAATTAATGAAACTCGGAAGCCGGGCTGAGCTGCCACCTTTTCTCAAAGGAATCCTCGAAATGGCATTGAATTTTAAGCAAAGAGCAGCATTAGTGATTGGTTCTGCTCATGCAAACATTGTGTAGATGTCTTTTGGAGTTTTACGCATGGATTACCACTCTAAAAGTAAGGGCAATGATGGGAAATGATGACCACGGTGCTGGGAAAAACATGTTTGCATGCAGTCAGCAGTTTCCAGGAAGAGCTTATGTCTGCGTGTGGAAGCTTGAAGATGGGGCTCTGTAAAAAAGTCTTTCACTCACTCGGTATTGAGATAAATGTGATGAGGGCATTCTGCCACAACCAAGCTCCATTTTGTGCGTCACTAGGTTTGACAACATGGATGTGTTATGAAGGGATTTTATCCATAGTTTTACCACATATGCTGTGGAAATAGCACATGAAACCTCAATTTTAGGCTACTCCGTGGATTTTAGTGCACATCTGAGTTAAGTCATTTAAAGACCATTACAAAATGATAAATGCATTTATCTTTATAATTTACCGTCACTTTTCTCGGAATACCAACACAAAACTGGGTGACAGTATTCTTTAGATGATGCATCAATGGAGATGCCAATGGTGCACAGCTACACTGCATTCGTTTTTCATACTAACCCTATTGAGCATTTAACATTCGATGCGGTCATCAAATGTTGTTTTGGTGTATGAAACAGTTTTATTTAAGCTAACATTATTTTTGGAACGCAATTGTTTTGTTGAGAGACATTGATGGTACATAAAGATACAGTATTTTAGAAGGCTACATATACACCGTATTTTCCGTACTATAAGGCGCACCTAAAAGCATTCAATTTTCTCAAAAGGCGACAGGGCACCTTATAATCCGATGCACTTTATATATTGCTGAATATTCTGATTACTTGGCCGTAGTATTTTAAATGTTCTGTAAAGCGCTTTTTTACAGCTGCAGCGGTTGTGAAAGCTCCATATAAATGAAGCTGTATTGTATTGTATTCCCTCTAGTGTAGCTACATCTAGTGGATGCATAACACAACCACAGCCACTATTGTAGCTTCAATTCTACGCACCTTATAATTCGGTACGCCCTATATATGAAAACATTTTTAAGATAGGCCATTCATGGAAGGTGCTCCTTATACTCCGAAGTGCCTTATAGTGCAGAAACTATGGTGTGTGTGTGTGTCTGTGTGTGTATTATATATATATATATATATATATACACACACACACACAGACACACACACAGACACACACACCCACAAACACAAACTTTATTGAAAACAACCATATACAGGAATCAAGAAGACAGGGGCTTGAGGTTATAATATGAACGTCATCTCCACTTGGTTTTGCTGAATGCTGAAGTGAACTTCATCACATTTTTATGTGATAACCTCACATTTTATCATGTTAAATATGTCATGTTTTAACATAACATTAGACCTGTAAAGTATTACATTAGTGTAACAGCAATGCACATCTGTACACGACCTATTTGAGGATATTGTTAAATGAGGACTGCCCAGTGTCAAATAAGACACAGTTCAAACGGCGTGCCAGTGTGTGTTCCAGCTCTTGTTTTGAATCTTAAATTTAAGTATTGTGCTGACTAGAAGTACCCATTCCTTCTGCTCCTCCTCCTCAATGCATTCTTCAATTATGGAAAGAAAGGAAAGATGCTGCAAACAGCACTCTGTACAAGCTATGGATCAGGTGGTGAAGTGAGATGTCTAGTCATGGAAAATACCTTTTATGATTCCAGGTGCAGAACAGCACCAGTTAGGCTACCCAATATGTTTTTTGTTTTTTTTGGAATAGGAGACGAGGGAGCCATGGTCACAACTGCTCGTCTTATAATTTTCGCCTTGGTTGGCCTTTTAAAATCGTCCATCTTTATTTTGGAAACTTGGATTCCATAAACTTCATGACTCATTATGTTTTATTATTCGGCTGCGTCATCTGAGGCCCTCTCATGGTCACACTGTGGTTACTGGACTGAGACCTCTGAATATCCTGACCCGCAAATGAGGGCCTGTGGGCATCACCAATCTGGGTTACGGTCATAAAACAAATGACTCTGACATGGAGACAAAGAGCGCTTGTGTGGGAAACAACACGCTGTAATGCTTGAGTCAGTTCTCTGAGGGGCAATGATGTCACTGCGTCAGATTCTTCAGCTGTTTTACCTAACGCTGCCGAAGGGCATTATGCACCTTGCCCTCTGACGAGTGCGAGTCACGATGTGTAGAGGAAACACTGTTTGAAGCATTAGGGGCTCTGAATCATTTCAGTGACACAACCACATGACTCACTCGCAATGGTCCATTAAACCATTTGACTGTGTCAGATTCTGAATGATGATCGGAGAGTTTAGATCATGCAGTCGCACAGTTATTCAGTTT